CAATGATAAAGGACAAATTGAAGGAGAATCGGTTTCAGATGACGGTCGAATTGGGTGGCATTGAGGACATGACAATGTGTCTAAATAGTGGTCGTAGTAGAATTCAAAAAACACAGAAATTGGTTACAACTAAATAAAATAAACTTCTTTCTTTACTTGTTGTGCCTTCTACCGCTGAAGAAACAAAAGTCAAATATTTAACGAGTTTTGCTGATTTTAGTGTTGCTTCCATTGCTGTGGGTTAGTGAAGAAGAAAAAACTTTAACTTTGTCAAATATTGACAAAAACAGACAAGAACTGCCTAATTTTTTCCCTTTTGTTAATCTGAAGGTCAAATGACAGTGCTTGTAACATTCAAAAAGTAGTACCATTTACCTTTCTATTTTCAAAAGTCATTGTACATGTTTTTACAACAAACTAAAAAACGGTAACCTGTTTTTGTACTGCTTTATCAAATATTTATCTAAATAGTACTATAGTTCAGTTACTTTTAATTTGTTATTTTTCTTTTTTCTAAAATGCCAGTCTTTTTTATTTTCTTAGAATAAAAAGGGCAATTAGGCAGTGTAAGCGTGAACGACCAATTCAAGTTGATAGGTCAGTGTAATTAATGGTTATTTCTAGCAGTATTCAATGAATATTATTATAAACAAAAACCGGGGTGGACATTTAAATTTAGATTTTTGGCTATTTTTAACAAAAACCTGTTTTAGTAAACTATACACAAAAAGAATAATTGATGCACTTTTTCTTTATTTTCAGTTTTTACCCCACAGTCGTGACCGCTTGCTTTTTTTGTGACATCTTAATTAATTAATAATTAATTGAAAAACAGACAAAGCAAAAGAATGTAACGGCAAAGTACATACAAAATAAGCAAAATAAACTAAATATTAAAAACATAGTTTACACACATTACGTTATTTTTTAATTTTTTTGTTAAATTGTGTATTCTTGTTGCGGATTACCTGATCCGGTGGCAAAAACAAAACTGTCAGATCTGTCAGAACATTTTTCATAAAAAAAAGGTTTCTGTTTAATATTTTACAATAAAAACTTTTTTGTGTTAAATGTTTCTGTCTTTTTGTAAAAAAATGATTTGAAATAATAAATTACACAACTTACCTTCCTGATTTGAATAGGCAAGCAGCCACGCTACATTTTTGTATGTAAATGTCTTTGAAAATTATTTTTGTGTTTGTGTTTGAGTCTTTCGAAAATATTCAAAAACGTCAGTCAAACAGAAAAAGCATGACAGGAGTTCACAAATTGATGTGTCGTACGTGGCCAGGTAGAGAGCAAGTGCATTTGAAGTCAAGAAAAAACTGCTGCAATATTGGCAGACAATTGTCGAAGCGTAAAACCAACAACCGTTTATAGAAAAAAAAGAGGAAAAGTAAACATCAGTAAAAAACCAAAATTTACATAATTTTTACTTTCGTTTTCGCGCGACTTGAGGGTTTCAGGCAAAAAATGCTGTTATTAAAAAGTATACTAAAAATGAAGCCAGTCAATCTCTTCCCCTCTTTGTACTCTGTCTAAATGAGTTAATTTCTATTTAATTAACACGGCCGACGTAACGGAGATGTTACTTTTGCTCTCAACCTTAATTAGAATTCACTGTGTAATTGTTTTACTAGCGCTGGTGACAAACAATGCAAGGAAAAAGAAGGAAAATGAAAGTGATGCAGCAAAGTGCACAGAGGGTGCAATGCAGGCAAGTGACGAGAAAAAATGAGAAAAGAAAATATAGTCAAAGCATATTCTCTTCATTAATTCACTTTTCAAATGTGGTAAAGTTTTGGTCTATAAGGTTGCAAACAGTATACTTTGCATTTTAAAACTATTTAAAACATAAAATAAATATATATTCTCTTTTACTAGTAAATCTTGGCAAAATTTCTCCTCATTACTCATCTTCCTCTGCTGTCTTTCACTTCGAATTTACAGTTTTAAGTTCATTACATATGCAAAGTGTACCAAGAGATGTAGAGGGAAAAAACGATGAACTCTTTGTTCGTTCAATTGTCTGCAAGGGCTTGGCGCAGCACTTAATAGTTAAATAAATCAAGAATAGTCAGCAGCTTATCGACGTCCTCATACAGCAGAAAACGGCGGCAATCTCTAATTTGATTTCAGCACTGTTTTATTTATTTTTTGCTGTTTTGGTTTGCTTTAGAATCAAATTAAGAGACAGAGACGGTTTTTTTCTTGGGTTTGCAATTTGCATACTGCACATAGCATATTGTAGTTTTTACTTTATCTATCTTTTTTGCTATGTGTTTGAACACATCAGCAGCAGCAACAGCATCATCAATACGGCTGATCGCGTTGAAGTACACAAAAATGCTGTAATCTGCGTTTTTTAAATTTATCTAATTTAAATTGAGGCTTGGCAATTGACACTTACTGAAAAACCAGTCCTGCTTATCAAAGCACAATTTTGTTTTAATATGGTTTTGCCGTTTCAAATTTTTTATTTAGGTTGCAAAATAGTTATGAAAACTATTTTCCACAATCATCTACAACTAATAAAATCCACTGTTTCGATTTGATACTGTTTTTTTGACACCATTTTTTCCTAATACGGTGCCATTTGTTTTTATTGCACAATGAATTGTTGTTGTGAATAGCAAAGAACGAAATGAATTGCACATTAATAATAACTGAGGATATTGAAAATACAGAAGAAATCGTTTTTCTTGATGCCATTTTATAAAATACTATTGTTATAAGAATACTGGTTAAATGTGTGTTGAGAAATAAATTTACAGTCAAAAGATAAATTACAATTTTCTTTTTGGTGGCAAAGGTGGGGAAATTCAAATTTGCTAGTTTTAAGCCAAACAAAACTATTGAAAACCCATTACTCCCTTCATTGTTTGCACTAAATGCCATTAATAGATAAATAAAAATCTAATGATTCCTCTTTCTACAAAAAGTATAACCCAATAATTGAATTGTTTGACAATTTAATTATCTCCTCAAAATCCGATCTTTTTTGCTAGCACTTCTCAAATGATAGACCTTGATTCGATAGACTGTTTCTTTATAAATTGTGTTGCGCCATTGAGAAATGAGCCGCAAAAAATTATTTATTATTTTTTTCTTTTTTTTAATGTTGAGTTAGAGAGTTAAAAAAGCACAAAATATAAAGATAACAACATAGCCAATAATAACAATAATTTTTTCTTTTATTGTTTTTTACTTTTTTAGTCAAACTACGACAAATACCAAAAAATTTTGTTTTTATTTTTGAGTTTGACTTTTTTTTACTCTTTTTTTCCAAATATTTACCAACTACAACTTTAAAGAAAGCAACTTTTTCATTTAAAAATTTTCCTTCTTTTCTCTGCTACCTCAACCGATGTTGTCACCGCTGTCTAGTTGTTTGCAAAATGAAGCTGTCAATTGTCGACTTGAATTGACAAACTTAATTTAATTAACAGCAAAACGAAAAAAGAATGTTGCAAGAACTAACGTCGTCGTCGACTTTGAAATGCTCACACACTTACACATTGTACTTTCTACTTCTAAATTAATTAACTACAATCGCCATCATGATTGATTGATTAATTGGCTTGGCAGGGGAGAGCAGAAGTACAACACCAACACTAAGTTAAACAACACATACACACGCACTTTTTTGGCATTCTTTCACACAGCAGACCGATTACCCCAGTAGAGCAATCTCCAAACTCATTACACAATAGCCCTGTTTCTGTTAATTTAATCCTGGTTGTACTAAATAATTTACCTAATTAATCAATCAATTAGCTAACTTAATTTCCGTCAGTTTGTCAGCCAAAAAAAGGAGAAAAATTTAACTAAAAAAACAATTCTTAACCAGTTTTTGTAATTATTTCTACCTCCCTTTGCTCCTGTTTCTGATTGTGTAGACACAATAACACTGCATTGTGTAGGTGTATTACTCAGTTTGGCTTTAGTACGCCATGAGCAATGGATCTCCTAACACCGTCAAGCATATTAGCTACCACTACTCATACGCAGAAATACTACCGCTAAAAGCAGTGATCGGAGACAATGAAAACAGCCAACAGACAACCGGATGCCTCTTTCCGGTTCAAAATGAACAAGGTAGGCTATTTAAAGTCATTTGATTTCCATTTAAAACATAAATGTCTCTGTAAACATAGATGCGCAGAAAACGAAAACGACCGTCTCTTGGACGTCGTTGCAGGACAGTGGCAATCATCAAAATCAACAACTGCAGCATCAGCAGCAGCACCACCAAAACCTATTTTCTCTTCTCCACTGTCATCGTTTGCTGAACTCACTCTGCCTTTGTCTTCTGCCCTACGAGCACCCTTTTCACTATAGGCGCAACATTTCAACAGGCAATTTTTTTTGTTATTTTTCCTGTTCTGCCTCTTCAATCAGTCTTCAATCACTCGCCTTTGCTTCACCACCAGCCCCAAAAGCATTGCTGCTCGAAAACAGTGATCAAGTGACCAGCAGTATGCTTTACCCAGAAGTACTGCCAGCCAAAAAGTGCTCTTTATCACTTGTCAATCAACGGACACTGCTTCAGAGTAAGAAAGCAACAGAACTGAGTAATCTGCACCAGCCACAATCCTCATCATCTTCATTATCTTCTGCATCGCTGTCATCTCCTCCTGAGCACAGCTCTTCTCAGCCCTCTCTCTACATGCTGCCTTTGCCAAACGAGCCGCCTTTATTGCTCAAGCATCCTCTGCTCAGTACAACCTATCATTACCACCACCACCCAAACGATCACTACTCTCCATTTCACGATGTCCTAGGAAGTATCCTTTTCTACTATTTTTTAAAACTTTTTTCCTTCTTTCTGAGGCCTTTAGCAGTGACCCGTGATCTAGGCCTACTCCTCCTCCTCTACATGTGCTCTCTACCAAGTGCCACCCACTGTGATGCTCAGTTTTTTGTGTCTCCTCGTCGCCTCTTTGCCGTTTTCAGGCAGTCTATCGCTTTGGTCATTCTCATTGGTACCGCTTTTGCCACTGTCGGTAAGTTTTCAAGTATTGCCCTGTAGTGAAAAATAGTCGTGCTTTTTCCAATTAGCAACTAGTCTCTTTTTCTTAACCGTTTGTGCACTTTTAAATTATTAACGCTATTCTTTACAATAACAAGCCGTCTTTTTGTTTTGTAAAATTTTTCATTTTTTAAATTTAAAAAAGGATATGCATTTTACTTTAAATTGTTTGGTTCATTAAACCACGCACTCAGTGTCTGCCAAATTTTTGCGATAATAATTGCAAGGGAAAAACTATCGTACAAGATAGAATTGCAATGACTAGAGAAATGAATGAATGAATAATTAATTGAAGAACAAAAATTGTTCGTTTTGCCGCCCAGTCAGTCAAACAAAAAAACTTTTTCCCCTTTTTCTAAATTAGCAGAAAAATAGCAGCATTAGTAGCAGCCATATGCAAACTAGCAGTTCTACACTAGTATCAATTATTAATCAGACTGAGAGAGAGAGAGAGAGAGAGAGAGAGAGAGAGAGAGAGAGAGANATTCTACACTAGTATCAATTATTAATCAGACTGAAAGAAAGAGAGAGAGAGAGAGAGAGAGAGAGAGAGAGAAAGCACGAATTTGATAACGAACAGAGATTGTAGTGAAGCGAAACAAATAGGCAACAGCAGCAGCAAAAGCAGTAGCGACGTTGAACTTTTGAACTTCTTTTTATGTTCTGCTTCAATATTGTTGGACAGCAGACAAGAGCAATGATGATGAAAATTGGCGGAACACAGTTGAAGCTAACGAGTGTCGACAATTGGCCGCCTGATTTGGAGAGCAAATTGCTAATTAGCAACTGTGAGCAGACACTTTGAGCAGTGGCGAAGGAGATGATGATGATGACAAGTTGGCATAAATTGGACAGGAAACGAAGAGAATGAAACTGGCAAAAACTGAAAGAGTTGCATGCTCATGCTAGTGTGTCTCAGTAAAGGGTAGAGAGGCAAAAAGAAGTTTTATTCAATAAAAAATAGCATCTGTATATAATATTTGCAAACTGTGCATAACTCAAACTGGTAAGGTATAAAGGAAACTATTGAAATGCTCACTCAGTCTCTCATTAAGCTAATAGCATTAATAATCATCATTATCATAAAGAAGAAGAAGAAGACGAGAAAAAAAATATTCTGGTTAATAATGTTGCATTCTGAAGCTAGCAATGGCAGCTTCTCTGCATCGCTGTCTGCTAAAGTATCGCCCGAGCAGATGATTTTTAATTGAGTTACAAGCGCAAGCAGACACATTGCCGTTTTGCTTGAGGCAGCTGTATTTTTAATTCACCACCATCACCGCTACTACCACCACTGCCACCACCACCACTAGAGCCAGCAACAAAGGCATTACCAAAATTCAGAGGCGTGAAAAGCTAATTATCATCTTCAAAAAGATCTGCTCGTAAAGTTTACAACCAAACAGAAACCAACAGAGAGGCTTGAAAGCGCGCTTGTGTGTGAGAAGGAGTAAAAGTTAATTAAAGTTAAATTAAATTGGCCAGCTGTCTGTCTGACTGTCTGTCTGGCGCTTGTTAGCTTCTGACCAGAGTCAGCAGAAAACACAAGCAGAAGCGGCGGCAGCATTAAGCCTTAAAGTTTTGACCGCTTGCAAGACAACTCACTCAAACACACACTAGTTCTTTTTTCGTGAAATGCATTTTAAACTGTGCTTTTGTCGTTGTGAATTGCTAGTTCCTCTGAGGATTACTGACTAATTGAGAAACAGTAGATATTTGTTGGTTAGTTTGAGTTTTGACAAATATTGTGAGTGCGTCTGATCGTTTGCACTGTTCCTGCACTGCTTTTCTTCTCCGGCCAACCCGTAGTGCCACTGTCATCACTGCTTTTTGTCATCTTCATTACACTCTTTCTTACACACAACTGAACAGCAGCTGTTTGGTCTGTCTGCGAGTCGTCTGTTTCTGCTTCATTATCATGCCTAGGGGCCATTCACTTTTGATGTGTCTCTGAATGCTCATCGGTATTGCCTGAGTGCAAAGGAATAGCAAGGGAACTGAAATATTGGTTAGAAATATTTAGCAAAACGTTCAAAAGAAAAAGGAAAGAAGTTTAAAGCAGTCCATTTTTGCGGAGAAGAGCCGAACATTGCAAAACGATGATAAATTGCCGACTCACTACTACTGCTACCTAAATCTCAATTCACTACTTTACATTTTTCAGAAAAAGAAATGTTTTGTCTGCAAAATTTGACACTCAGATACTTCAATAGACTTGCACAACATAGTACAAATTGAAACGTCAAAATTCCATTTCAAGCGCCTTTTTGGTGCAAATGCTGTGAAGCTTAAGACTCAAAGAATACACTTTTGCTTTTTGCTTCTGTTTCTCAATAAAGAAAAGCTTACTCAATGCAAATATTTTGCATTTAAAATTTAGATAAAGGTGCAAAATACTTAAAAGTTTTAGTAAAAAGTTTTAAAAATGTTGCATGTAAATTTATTTTTATTTCAAAGTTAAAAAACTGTATGTTACTCATTTCAATATTCTTTGTTATTACATTTTTATAGTTTTGACAGCGTCCAGTCAACAATAATTTTTTATTAAACCAGCGACATAGTAATGTGCGTGCAAATTAATTAAACACTTGCATGACCTAATTTTCGGCATTGCAAAAATTATGTAGATAGAAAGATTTATATAAACAAAAAATGTCAAGTTATTGTTGTGTGAAATTTTGTTATCGTGGAATTTTGTTGTTTGTTTTTAAACACAATAATTCTTTTTGCTCTCATTCTAATTATTCAGTTAAATAAAAAACTGATGAATTAATAAAAAATTAAATTAACTAAAATTATTTTGTTGTTGATGAAACGCAATAGAAAATAAATTGCTAAAACATATATATATATATATATTGCTAAATTGACACATTTATATGATTTTTTATTTTTCTTATTATCATTTCAGCTGTAAATTACATTTGTTGTTGTTGTTGTTTTTACCAAATAATAGCTCAATGACAAAACCAGAAATCGGTCAGCAAGTGTCAATAAAAAAATTGTTTTATTTTAATAGTGCAAACCAAATTATTTTAGATGTGTTTAAAAATTTTGGCGGTTGCTATTATAAACAATTTTTTGCTAAAAAGGTCGTTTACCTTTTAAAAACAAAGTTTGTTGTTTTTGAACTTAGGTTTTTAGTGACCAGTTTCTATAAAAAAATGTTTACTAAAAATAAGAGAAAGTTGTTTTGAAAGTTCTAGGAGACTCACCTAGTCAAGCGAGAAAAGATGGAATGTGTTTAATAATTTTAAATGTAAATAGTGTGCAAATAAAAATTGTATAAAAGTTAAAAGTCGGGTTTAGGAAAATCTACAAAACGGTTTATGCAAACTATGAGGAATTCATTGAAATTTAATTCAAAAATTTTTTGTTTGTAAAACGACAAAAAAGTTCTTAAAATGTGCCGGTGCAAAAAATAACAAATAAATACAAATAACATAACGCAAAGAAAACTCAAAATAAGCATGTTTTTGGCAATAGTAGTTTGATAAATGTAAAAACGGTGAAAATTGAAGAAAAATTAAATTAAATGCTGATTAAACTATCGATTGGTTAAACGAAAAATTTACGTAAACGAATTTTGTTGTTGTTTCTTTTATTTTCTTTCTTACTTTATGCTACTGTTGTTTATTTTATCAAAAGAAAACTAATGCATTGTTTGCTTAACAAATTTAAGATATTGCTAGATGAAAAAAATGAAATGTATGCAATCATTTGCAGGCAAAAATAGTATAATAATAGAGCGATAAAGTTTTTTAGTAAAACAAAAATGATTAATTTACCTTAGTTTTAGACAACTTTTAATGGATTCTGAGTTTTCATAAATTAATTTAATATTTTAATGTTTTTATATCATTTTTGCCTAGCAAAAAATGTTAATCTACTTTGCCTGATGATCTAACCTTGCGTCAAAAACAGAAAAAATTGAATTGATTATTTTTTACTAGTGATTTTAATTACTAAAATTAATGATGAATAAATAAAAATGAAAAATGTTATTGATAAATCAATAAAAAGATTTGACTTTGACTCAGAAAAAAGTTTTAATCTCAAGTTAAGTACAATCTTCATCATTTTTATTAAAATGCAAAATTTTATTGTCAATTTTAAAAGTAATACTTTTTTTAACAACTAAACAACAAAAAATGTAAGCAATCAGGCAAATTGCTTTGAGATTATCTGTTAAAACTAAAAAGAAAAAATGGGGAATTTTTACCAAAATTTAAAATTGCATTCACTAAAAAAGAATGTGGTTGCACTTGCTGAAGTAAAGCAGCAGAAAACAGGCAGGCAAACAGGAGCTTAAAAATGAAATTATCTTAATGGTGCAACAAAACAGACCAGAATGAGCTTTTTTTGCCCTGCCTCTGCTGTCACTGCTCCTGATGTTGTTGTTAGCACAGTGTTAAAACCTTTGCATAAATTTACGTTTTCAAATATAAAATATAACAATAAAAAAGGGAAAAATATGCTTATATTTTAGCCCATTGATGACGCTGGGAAAAATTAGCGTAAAAACCTGAGTAAACGTAAAGTGCAATCAAAAATTGTGGTAAATTTTTTCTTTAAAAACTTGTAGTGCCAACAACAAAAATAAAAATGTCGAATTAGTTATATTTTCCATCCACTTTTGCCTTTTTTCACTCATGCTTTTCATCTTAGCATTACCTTCTTTGCCAATTTTCCTAAAAAGAAAACGTGGCAATATATAACCAAAAAAGTATATCTTTACGTAGACTTTAATAAGGCAGACGTTGCAACTTGGTTATTACTTTCTGCTTCAATGCCGAAAAAATAGAAACAGAAAAAAGAGATACACTTCCTGTATAAATCATAGCACAGAGGTTATAATAAGGGCACCAAATGTTTGAAGAGATGGGGAAAAAGTAGAGGGATAAAAACAAGAAAAAAGATGGGAAATTTAGGGTTTCACAGTTCGGTTCTGACAGTGGCAATTTTCGTGTGTTTCTGCTGATATTGTATCAACCACCAACACTGACAACAGCACCACAACAACGGCAAGCATTTTTCAATTGTGTGGTTTGTGGGCTAAAATGGTGAAAAAGACGTTTCATTGGATTCTCTTGAATTCTCTCACTCTATCTTTAAAACTCTCCAGTGGGCTTTTAGCAGCATCTTTTCAGTCTCCCAAATGACCGATGTTATTACGTCTACGGCTTCTTTTTTGTGATTTTCTTTCTTCTTTTTTCTTTTGACAAATTAGAAGTTCAGTTTTCTTGCTAAGATCTTTCTGCTAAATTCATTGCTCCCCAATATTTTTATTGCAGCCAGCAGCAGCTGTTAGATAATAAATGAACTCAATTTTCCCTCCTCTCTTGTCAATTTTATGACGACTATATTTGTTGTTACTGCTTCTGTTTTCTTTTCTATTGAAAAATAATCATCGTTCGTTGATAGATGATTTAGAAGCAATTTTCTTTTACTTTTGTTGTTGAAATTAGAGGTTCAGGTGATTTATAGTAAGTTTTGAGGTGTGCTAATGGTACTTTTTACCAAAAAGTATAATGCGTTTTAAAAAACTTGTACAAAATATAGACAAATTTTACTTTTACTCTTTAGCTTTTTAAGTAGCACACTTTTTAATTTTAATTTAAATTCAATTATCTAAATTAGCGTTTTTTAAATTTTTGCTTTGTCGTTTACTTTCTTTCTTGTTCACTCTGTAAACTTTTGAACTTTGCTGAGTTTGTTTGTTATAAAGGTTTAGTAAACTTTACCTTTTTCAGTTGTGAAGTTGTAATTTTCCGCTTTAAAGCTGCCTTTGCCTGAAGGCGTCGAGCTGAACACAGCGCCAATTTTTTAGTTGTTCATGTTAAAGGTTTTTCTTTTATAATTTACAAATTAAAAGTTTAACTTTTACAGTAAACTTTTTTGGTGGTTTCATTCTGTAAATGCAGGTAGATTAAATTAAATTATTTTGGTTGCTCAAACGCATTATTAAAGCATTTAAAGCTTTTCTATTGTTTGTTTAAATTAATTTTATTTTTTTATTTTTTTTCAGTTGAATGTGGTCCCCACGAGCGTCGCCTTCTCAAAGACTTACTAAAGAACTATAATGTGATGGAGAGACCGGTGCTCAATGAATCGGAGTCTATCACCATTCGTTTCAGCGTTACCCTGCAGCAAGTGATTGACATTGATGAGAAAAACCAGCAAATTATTACCAATATGTGGTTGAAAATGGTAGGAAACAGACTGTGACTTTATTCAACACAATGAAAAACTTGTTGAAGATGTTTTTAAAAATTAAAAAATTATTTTATTAATTACACTGTTTTTGTGTTTTATTGTTTAGGAATGGGAAGATGCTAATCTTGTATGGAAGCCAGATGACTACGGAGGCGTCACAAACTTACGCATTGCACCAGACAAAGTTTGGCGACCAGATATTCTCATGTACAATAGGTATAAAGTATATCTTTGTTTAATAAATAGTTTGCCGTTTGAAGTAGTTTCATTTTTTTCCAGTAAAAGCATTGATTGTAGTCAATTACACAAGTGGATGACTGGAAACTTCCGTCTAAACACTCCTTAAAATACTTGAATAATAGATCATCATAAAAAAATGTTTTTTCATTTCCGTCTAAAGTAAATTAAGTTTTATTTGTTTTTGTTAGGCAAAGACAAATACAGTTAGGGCGCAACTTCTAAATAAGCAGTTGATAACACATTTTATCCTTTTTTCTTCTAGTGCTGATGAAAAGTTTGACGGCACTTTCCATACAAATGTAGTTGTGTTGTCCAATGGCACAATGCTCTATATGCCACCAGGTGGGTGCTTTTTGGAGATTTTGCATTGCTGATAGCAGATTAATCTGATCTTTTGAACAAATCTTTCCCTGAATCTTGTTTAGGTATCTTCAAAAGCACTTGCAAAATTGACATTACATGGTTTCCCTTTGACGACCAGTATTGTGATCTAAAGTTTGGCTCGTGGACGTAAGTGACTGCTAATTTTCTTCCTTTTACTTTAAAACCGTAGCAAAGAAAATGCTCTTGAACCAATTTAAAAAAGTTGTTTTAAAAGTTGGCTAGTTCAGTTGAAGGCAATACGCTAATTTGTGCGACTTACTAATGTTTTATTTGCTTTTTACTGCTTCTGTATTGCAGGTACCAGCTGGACGCTCTTGATCTGCTGCTGACCAACAAGACGGGCGACCTGAGCAGCTACATCCCCAATGGTGAATGGGTGCTCTTGGATCTGCCGGGCACTCGCCACGAGGAGTCCTACGAGTGCTGTCCCTCCAAGTACATAGACATCACCTATCGAGTGTCATTGCGCCGACGGACACTTTACTACGGTTTCAACCTCATCGTCCCATCGATGATCATCAGCTCAATGACACTGCTCTCATTCACACTGCCGCCTGATTCAGGAGAAAAGCTGACACTCGGCGTGACCATACTCCTCTCTATGATTGTCTTTCTCATGCAGCTGGCGGAAATTATGCCTGGTAAGTGTGATTGTGATTTGCGGTAGTGTTTTCGTGGTTTCCGCCACTACTGGCGTCCACTCTCATTCATCCTCTGCATTCCTCCGTTCTTCGTTTAATCAAAGCTAATTCAATTAATTGCCAGTTTTACGACTTTTTTCGCCAAAAAGAGAGTAAAAAACAAAAATTTAAATGAATTCAGGACGTTGTGATTAAGCAAATTACCGTTCTCTAGTCAGCCATTAAGGAAATGAGCCTATTGAATAAAAATAGTATTTTTTTCTGGTTTTGCAAACGAATAGTTTTTTGAATAATAGTCAAACTGATGTTTTAACATCAACGATTTCAATCTACAAGTATTTTACGTAATAAAAAATTTAACCGGTAACTTAACTAAAAAAATGCTTTTATTGTTATTTTCTCTTTTGATTGATTGATTGAGTTTGCCTGTATTAAAAAAATTTAAAAAGTAGATGAACAGAAATTGTATCTTAGACAACTAAATCAAGAATAAAAAATAGAATAACGGCATTTGCTACTGCAATTCTATCATGATAAAAAAGCGAATTTTTTTAGTTCACCCAAATAGTGTCTTTTTATGTTTGGGCTTTTAGCTTGTATTAAATTGAAATTACATGCAAATAAAAGTTTTTAAAAAATAATGATGGTAAAAAGTTTTTAAAGTAAATTAAATGTATTTTAATGTAAAAGTACAAGACAAAGTCTAATGTGTACTAAGAAACGTAAAATCACATATTTTTGAAAAAAATGGTACATTTAAGGATCCCTGTGCTTACCAAACACCCTGATTTCAGCTTGATCATTTTCAGTAGCAAAAAACACGACTTGTTCTTTTTGACGCCGCTAATAAGCTTGTAGAATATTCCCCATCTAATCAATTGGAAACAAACGGCTTCCGACTGAATAAGGCGAAGAAAGTTCGCTAGCATCTTGATCCCCCTAAATAAGAAAAAGTGCGTGTGTGCATCGGCTGTTGCTAACTGCCTCATTTACCTACCGTAATTGCCCCCTTAAATAGTCGTCATCATTCTCTTTGCCAGCCTGTCGTGGTATGGTCGATTAGCGTTTTGGCCAAACCGAAAGTAGAGAGTGCCACAAATGGCTAGTGGCTGAAAGAGTGGCCAAAAAAGAAAAAACAACAAAAAAGTGTATTCGATTTATTTAAATTAAAGAGACGCTGATGGGCAAGGGTGCACATCCACTGCTGCCCTTCTCTTCCGCATTCGCCTCCATCTCAATCAATATTTAAGCAAAATAAACAGAAGTATTGAGCATCAGCAATCATCGGCAGTGTACAGTTTCACTTTTGCTTCTTCAAATAATATTTTCTGTTTGTCCGTCAGTCGTGGCTCGTTTGTAAATGCACTGCACATTACGGTCGTCTACGATTGAACGGGTACACACACATCGCTCAACTAACGAAACCGAAACATGTTCAGTCGCAGTTTTTTCTGTCTGCTCTCTCTCTCTCCTTCTTTTTCTCTTTGATTCTCTAGCTACATATCTAGGCACTTTAGGCAAACAGAGAAATCACTCGTAATCAGACGAGTGACGATGAAGCGATTGGCAGTCTGATGAAAGCTTGACCAGCTTCCAAAGTTTTTTTTTCTGTGGCAAATGTTTTAGCTTATTCTCTTTTCTCTATACTTGCTTTTCAGGTCATAACTGGAGAAGAAACTGTTACTCAGTGAGCAGAAAAAACAACTCTGTCTCCTGTTTACTTAGTAAAATGCATTCAGTGAACGACTTACTCCCTTTCAAGAAGTGAGTAAAAGAACTTTTTTTCCGGCACTATTTTTTCTGTGTACTATTTACCCAAACTTGCTGTTGAAGTAGGTTAGCCTGGCAGAGTGACCAACACATGATATAGATGTTTCAAGTGCAATTTTAATCTTCATACTGTGGACAAATAAACGTCTTGTTTTAAGCCCTGGTTGTTTTTTAACTACAGAAGTTCCGCTACCTTTTTAACACTCTCGGGAAATTAAATTGCCCCGCTTTACTTTTTTTCAATGAACTCGGGTTCTTTTCTACCGGAAAACACAAAAAGAAATACTAAAGCTACTGAAATAAAAATATTTACACATTTTAAAATGCAAAAGTAGATTTGCACTCACTAATGTAAAGTAGACGTGAAACAAACAAAAACTTCAAAACGAATTCTTTTTTTAAAAACAAAAAGCTTTCTTCTTAAACTCCATTGCAAAATGCTCTTCAATTGAAAAAAATAAGCATATTCTTGCAACAGTAAAATAAGAATAAAAAAGCAACAGCAGCAAATTCTAAATTAAACAGGCACTGCGAACAGAATGAGTAGAATCATCTTGTGATAGAATCTCGAATCCCCGTGAATCTAAATTAAATATTTATCAATATGTGAAACAGATAGCTTCAGTTGCTATCGTTGCTGAACACTGAAATATTGTCCAAATATAGTAGTGTAATAAATCGGCAATTGGATACAAAAGTAGCAAAGAAAAAGAAGAAGAACTTTCCCATCCTCTGTGGAACGGTGATGTCGCTGCAGTAGACACCAGCCAGCTAGTCGCTGATTCCCTCATCCGATCTATTATGCGCATAAATTTTAATTTCTTTTCCAGACAGTACTAGATATCTTTCTTTTCTTTGCCACTTTTTTCTGTTCGATGATGAAAATCAATAATAAATTTGCAATTTCATCGCCCCACTCTGAAACAGCTAGTGCCCCTACTTCTTTCTCTTTTTTTGGCCTGACACTTAATCTGCCCTTTTCTGCTTTCTCTCTTTTTCCTAAAGTGGTTCAAACACTGAACATTCGTCTGATATCCATTCTCATTTTCTCTTTTCAAATGGCAATCTCGAGCAATCTACGGGTCGTTCCCTTCTTCTGGGCAATTTAGTCCATAGTAGTGTGTGACAACAACACTTTTTTCTTCATTGCACTATTTCTCCACTGTCGATCTCTTGCAGCAGCACAAAGACCCAGCGGCTTGTCGGACACTTGAAGAGGCAAAAAAGAAGAAAAAGAAGAGCTCGAACAATCAAAGCAATTGACGAGCAAGCGGTAGAGAGNGGCAATTTAGTCCATAGTAGTGTGTGACAACAACACTTTTTTCTTCATTGCACTATTTCTCCACTGTCGATCTCTTGCAGCAGCACAAAGACCCAGCGGCTTGTCGGACACTTGAAGAGGCAAAAAAGAAGAAAAAGAAGAGCTCGAACAATCAAAGCAATTGACGAGCAAGCGGTAGAGAGAAGTGTACAGCAATTGATGTGCATGTGCGTACTCCTTGTGAATCAGATGCACTAACAATAGGACAATAGAACAGAGGATGCACTAGTGGGGCAAAGGCTCTGTCTGTGAGTGTGTGTTAGTGTTGTTCTACTGTGGAACATAAACACTACTTCTGCTGCTCTGCATTCGGGTGAAATCAATCAAATTAACAGAGGGGTCCAATGCATGCTTGTGAAAGTGTGTGAGAGTGTGTGCGACGGACGCAAACAGACAGACAGTGCAAATCCGAGCATTCATTCATTCATTCATTTGTCCCCATTCATGAACACACACTACACAATCAGATTGCAAATGCCTTCTTCTCTCACTGTTAGAGGACGATGCCAAAAATGCTCAACCGGAAATGGAGCAGAGAAAGAGTTACCAGAAGGATAGATTTCCCCGGCCGATTAGACTTTAGTCTGAGCAATTGTAAAAACAATTGCTAAGCAACGCCGCACTGAACCGGTTCTTAAAGTGAGTATTCTCTTTCTCGTTCCTGTCTGGCTAGACAAATATTTTTTCAAGTCCGCCATACTGAGCCGGAAACGGAAATGGAGATTCTCTCGCTTGCACTCTCTGAAAAGACTGTTTCTGTTTGCAAAGTGACAAAAGAAAAGATTCGGAAAGAGTAAATTTAAGGATGCGTCAATTGGAGTTGTTGTTAAGAAAGTTTGGAAAAATGCTGTTCTCCGATGCTCTCTGTTTCAAAAGTAAAAAAATAAAGAAAAAATCAGTCTTAAAAGCGGATTTTTCGCTCTGCTTATACGACTTCTGAGCTGCTCATTTTTGCGAGAAAATCTCCCTATTTTGAGAGTCTTGATAAAGCGCGATCTTTGAATCACCCATTGAAAGGCACTCGCGTCCCAATGGAATTCTACTACTACTACTTTCAAAATTTCTCTTTTCTTTTTCTGTTTTTTGTCGTCCAGACGCGATGTTGAAAAAAAAGAAGATGCCAGTGTATGCGCAAACTTTAAACACTTTCAAAAATGAAGCTCAAGTTTAAAATTTAACATTTCCNACCCATTGAAAGGCACTCGCGTCCCAATGGAATTCTACTACTACTACTTTCAAAATTTCTCTTTTCTTTTTCTGTTTTTTGTCGTCCAGACGCGATGTTGAAAAAAAAGAAGATGCCAGTGTATGCGCAAACTTTAAACACTTTCAAAAATGAAGCTCAAGTTTAAAATTTAACATTTCCTACTGCGACTCTTTTTAGACGACTGCAAGAAAAGGGCACATTGTAAATAAATATGAATTTATAGTTGTTTCGAGTAGTAGTAGTTGTTGTTGTTTTCATAGTCCTTTTTTATCGTTTGTGTTTCAGAAACTTTATTGCTTTGTGGAATATTCAAAAATAACATTTTCTTTATAGGATCTAAAGTGACTGCAGAATAGGACAGAGGCTCGAAACTGCTCAAACTTACGCTGCTAACAGACGGAGAAAAGGACGTGTCATCAGTTTAAATTAAATAGCCAAAAGGAAACAACAAAAAGATAGCCCTTCACTTAGGTGTGAATAGTAGTGTCAATCTTGAGTATATGTAAGTGATTTTCCAGCACTGTAAAAGGCAACGGCCCATGTTGCTGACTCAAGAAGAAAATGGCCTGGGATTAAGCGCGTTTGGGTAGCCTTCCTCCAAAGTCGGACAATCACCGCAGCAGTCGAAATTGGCCGATTGTGGGTATTCTCGACGGAAGAGGAATCCGCTTAGAATGGCAACAGAATCAGGCAGCTTTCTCCCAGTAAAGAAGGGATTCGGGCCAGCTTCAGTGGTAGATTCAGAGATTTAATTAAGAACTGTACTCTGGGCCGATTGTCAAGTGCAGTAGAGAGGGCTTAGTGAATTCTTTATTTTCCTAATTTTTGTTTCTACCACCATTGCTACATTTTTGCCTTGGTGTGAATTTTTAATTTTCCGTTTTGTGGTTTGAGTAAAACTAAGCAGAAATGTCTGGTTGTTTAAAGTTTTTATTTGCAATGTTTGTAAGCTTTTCAGAAATGGAATTAGTTTTTTTGCAGATGACAATTAAAATTTTATGAGAATTAGAGAGCGCTTTCTGATCTTTGTTTGCTGTTAAATTAAAAAGTTTAAAAGAATTTTTTAAGGTTTCTAGTCAAAATGTGTGTTTGCACTTTAGATAATGACATTTTCTTTAAAAATATTTTTTCTTTTTCTATCATCAAAGAATCATTTTTTAACAGTCGTAATTTGAAGGCGGTAATTATTTGCATTTGCTTTTGCCCTTGTCTTCTGGTTTATTTGCTTGCTCATTTAAAAGCTTATAAAAAGGAAAAAGTAATTCAAAAAATAAAAATGCTGTTAATCACAATTTTCAATAACAACTAAACAAAAAAAGATTGGTAACATTTAAAAAAATTTAAAAGTTGATTACTTACAAGTTAATCTCGTTTTTACAACTATCCCATTGTTTTTTCTTGTAATCAACAGCCACTTCAGATTCTGTGTCCATTGTGGGCAGCTACTTTGCGTGCATCATGTGAGTTCTTGTTTATAAAATCAAAATTTCTATGTCTCAACTTGACCAACGCTTCTTTTTTCTTCTGACTTTACCAGGGTGATGGTTGCCTTCTCTGTCGTCATGACCGTCGTCGTGCTCAACTTTCACCATCGAACAACTGAACAGCAGCAGGAGATGCCTCGATGGGTAAGTGTTGGTGACGATGGTGATGATAATTGTGAGAAGTTGGTGATCTATTAAAAGTAATTAAAAGATAAGAAAAACAAAAAAACTAAAAATAGTGCGCGTCCACTTAGGTGGAAACAGACGGTGCAGAATTCGACTTTGTCCTTGTCGAAAAAACTAAAAAGGGAAATTCCGTTTCGGCTGATTGCCATCATAGGGTTGTCATAGGTTCGGTTATTTTCTTTACTACATCGAGCGCCAAAGAAGAAGAAAATCTAATTAAATTCTCCACCACGATGGCGGCTCAAGTTCACTGGCACCAGATTTGCTGCAGCTGCAGCTTCTTTTGCCTCCTCATTTGTCGTCCATCTTGCGCAAACAGTGATGTGGTTTGTGTGGTGGCTGTTTACTTTTTCCCATCTCTTCTTCGTCTTTTTTGAGTGCACATACACACGATCTTTTTTCCCATTGTGTTGTCAGTCTTTCTTTCTCGATTTTTTCTCATTTTAATGTTTACGTTTTTATATTAATTTTTCGCCAATTTTTTATGAATATTTTATAACCAAAGAAGGAGTAAAGTGTAAGAAAAGGTTATATGCAATGGCTTTAACTACTGAGCTCATTGACTATTTTTTGTTTGGGTATTCATTGACCACAAAACGACTTGATAACACTTGACAGATGAATTGAATCTTTTCCAACAAAAAAAATAGCGTTGTTTGTTTGGTACTATTAAATTTGGGAATCATTACTTTTCGATTGTGTTTTATGTTTTATTTTCATTTTTTACCAGTTTATTGAATTCATTTTTGTGCTCAATGCTTGTTCACCCTCCTCGCCAATCAATAGGCCGTTAAGCAAATATAGTGAGCAAAAACAGCAACATCAACCAGCAAGAAAAAGACCGTCTAGTTGAGAAAAAGTAAAAAACAGAATTTTCCCCGTATTTGTTAATTTGTAATTCAATCACAATCGCTCAATGAATCGAGAGAGGGAGCAGTGGAATGGAGTGTAATTTCTGCTCTAGAAAAGCGCACATAATAATAATATTATTATTAGTAATGTTAAGAATATGAAAACCTGACTGAGAAGAAAGTACTGCACAGCAGTTATGTTGCCTTTCAGTAGAGCAGAACTCTGCCCTGCAATTGCTTGAAGAGTTACGCAACTAATGAGCGTTGCGTGAACAAATTAAATTGGCAGAAGAAAAAAAGATTTAAGATAGATGAAAAAGAAAAAAGTAAGAGTTAGATTTCAGAAAGAAAAGGTGACATATTGCATGTTAGATTGAAATAAGTGATAAAAAAAGAGATAGGACAAAACCAAGCAAATTTACATTTTTTTAGTTAATGCAAAATAATAATTAAAACTGAAAATACTTTTTACAATTTGTATTGGCTCTATTTTTTAAATGATGTGCATTCTTAAGCAACACTTTAGATATCTGCTTGCTAATTTGGCTCTTTGATTTTAAAGACATTTTCAAGCAAAATAAATGAAAATAATAGTAATTGCCTTCATTATATGCAAATTTTTTTCTGTTTCAAATCTGTTTTGCTCTAAAACTAACTAAAACGTGCTTTTATAAATGTTTCCTTATTATGTAGCTCTAAAAGCAGTAATGTAAAATTACCTTTTTTGGCCTCCATTTTTTGCCGTCCTTTCCGATCGATTACCATTTTTCATTTTCTTTTTCTTAAGTACCATTTTTTTCTGGTAGGATATTCCTATTCTTCACTTCTCTCCTTTTAATAAACTACCTGCACTACTTACTACTTACTACACGGGGATTACAGTGTTTTCATTTTTTTCAATTGACATCACTTACTGTAGTACGGCAGTAGAGACAGTAGTCTGTTCATTTGGGTCTTTTAGAAAAGAGTAGAAGGCAGTCAAGGCTAGAAGCCATTAGCAAAGGAAGCTTCACTGCTCCCTGTCTCTATCCCTTTCTCTCTTTAGTTTCAGTACATCAGTTGAAATTATTATTTTAAAATTGCCAAAAAGAATAGACTTGCCAAATTATCATAAAAGATAATAGAGACGGCAGTTCCGCCAGTGTACCCTCTTGCTAGTCATGTAGTCATAAAAGAGAAGGAGGTTAAATTACCTTACTATTCTCTTGGAGCTGATGATAAAGATTACTGCCAACGACAATCGATAGAAGAAAAATCGATAAATGTTGCTGCCACTGTTTCTCCTGCTAGAACTGCTGGTTCTCCGTTCGCTTTTGTTCTAATTTTTGTTTTAAAATTTGGGGAAATAAGCTAGCTGTAATGAGTAAATGATGAGGAGGATTTGGTGGCTAGTTGTAAATTTGCTGACAAGCAAATTACCAGCAAATATAAATTGTCGAGGCAAAGAGGAGGTAGTGGTGGTGGTGAATGTGGTGATGATAAGAACGGCACACTATTGATTGGCATTTAGAGAAGCACTTTCTATCCGTATGGTCACATGGCTAGTTGCGTAATAAAAAATGACCCTTTCTGAAAGTATTTTATTGTACACTAGACAGCTGGTCAATTGATTTTAAATTGACTGCCAGTTTATTCAATCTCATTCCCTCATTCCGCCATTCTCTCGTTCTCTATCTCAATCGATTATTAGCCTTAATAGCTACTACTATTGCCATTCTCTGTTTCCAAATCTTTTCCTATCTGTTTTGCCGTTTTGTTCACAACTGAGCAAGCGAGTCAGTTAAAAGGGCTCTATTGAGAGGCGGCAATAACTGCGCGGCAATAACGGGCAAATCATCTGGAACAGCATCAAATGCACGGCTTCGGAGGGCAGTTCAGGGACAACGAAGTGAAGAGAAAAGTTTTCTAAATTAAATTGCAGTACATTAAAGCAGTTGGAGTTCAGATGAGAGTTTAGCTCCAAAGTGGAGGCCATTTTAAAAAGCTTTAATTTTGCAATGAATGTTCAGCTGAAGCTCTGTAAGCGTCTCCTTCAATTTGACCCTCATCATCAATATATATCTCTTTTGTCTGTCTTACTCACCGTCTAGATCCGCAACGTCATCTGCACCTGGTTACCATATGTGCTCTTCATCAAACGGCCACCAGAGCTTTTTAAACGCTACGATGGAGTAAATTCAAAAAGGGCAAACGAGCCCAAAGGAAGGACCCCCTATAACCCTCGAGACGCGACCAACACCATTGGCGGCGACCCGGCCAGTCGACCGAACCACCACCCGGGCGTCTCACTGGTGCCACTGTACGACGCCACTGGAGCGCCCCGAGCCGCAGAGCCGACCATTGCTGAGATGCTGCTGCTTCGCGAGAAGATAACCGAGTACGAGAATCTGGTGGAGGAGGCGAACGTGAGCATGCAGGCGAACAGACACCGCCAGGGTTGTCCCTCAGTCGCCTCCAACGCCTCTCTCCTCAGTCGGTCAAACACTCTGGTGGGCAATCACGTCCCCTACGGCGGTGGCCAGCTGGTCACTGCTCAGGGAGGCGTTCTCAATGGCTGCACTGCTGTTGTTGGTGATTTAAAACACCGAGGAGGAGGAGGGTCAATGCCGAACAAGTGCCCCTACTCATTCACCAGCTACCCACCTCCTCCTCCACACACGCATCACTTCACAGGTAATCAAAGGCGGTTGAGGCTGCAGTGAGCTCCATCAACTTTACTCTTTTTACCCTTTCCCTATTCCTTACAGAGCCCGCCCTTCCTGGTGGAGATTCGGGTGTTGGCTCTTCAGGGGCTGACCACCAGCACCACCAGCAACAGCACACTGGATACCTCTTCAGCGTTCTAGGACACTCCGATGAGCCGACTACGTACGCAAGAAAGGAGGGCACCGGAGGAGGACACCGCCGTGATCAGCACAATCACTCCCATCAGCAGCAGCATGTGAACTGCCGTGAAGGCGGCCTGCAAGCCCTGCAAACTGACCCTCTGCTGGAGAACAGTTGCTGTTGCTGTGCGTGCAGTGGCTCCGGAGCTGAGCAGTCAGCTGCCTTCTTCGAGGACGTCATGACGGAGCTTCGCTTCATCACCAACCGCCTTCGCCGAGAAGACGACCTCAACGACATCATTGGCGAGTGGAAGTTCGCCGCCATTGTCATTGATCGCCTCTGTCTCATCGTTTTCAGCACCTTCGCCATCATCAGCACGGCGGTTTGCCTTCTCTCGGCGCCGCATCTGGTTGCCTAGCAGGGTCAGACCTCCCTCCATTCTGACTCCGTTCTGATTTCATTCTTCTTCTTTCCGTGCTCCCTTGTGCTCTCCTTCTCAAGACTCGAATCATTTTAAGACAACAAAATAAACTCTATATCTAATCTGCTCATTTTTTCAATTGATATTTCTTCTTTTTAATTCTTTTGAGCTCGACTTTGTTCTGACAAGGAACATAGCCGTTGTTGACAAAAGTGAGATTTTTTCTCGTTTAGCAGATGCTTCTTTTCNGGACAACAAAATAAACTCTATATCTAATCTGCTCATTTTTTTCAATTGATATTTTTTCTTTTTAATTCTTTTGAGCTCGACTTTGTTCTGACAAGGAACATAGCCGTTGTTGACAAAAGTGAGATTTTTTCTCGTTTAGCAGATGCTTCTTTTCTTCTCCTTCTAAACATTTTAAGCTCACGTTGAAATATTGTTACAAATCTTTAGCGTTCCTAGCAACCAGAAAAAGTAGTAGACGCAATCAGTATTACAGCAATTTTCTCTTTTTATCAAATTCTTAACTGACTCAACTGCTAACTTACTCAAAATTATAAAACTCTTCAAACCCTGCTCCAGAGTTGAACCTTGTAATAAAAACGCAAGAAAATAATTTAGAAATACTTTTTTTGAACTAATATCTTTAAAAACTGTTGACTGATTTTTCACTCACTTCTATGTAGTTTGCTGAAACCAATTATTCAAACACAAACACACTTTCAAACACTTTCAAATGTTTTTTTTTGTAAATCTAATTAAAAAGTTTTGAAATTTTTATTAAGATTATGTTTGAATTTTGAGTGGCAATTTACTCAAAATTAAAGTCCAAATATTTGAACTTTGCTTCTATACTTTAATATTCTTTAATTCCTTTTTTATCTTTTAAGTGCTCAATTTGCTTTTTCAACAACGCTAAAAAAATGCGTTCCTACTTCTTATTAAAAATAATTGGCTTGATATTTTTAGCAAATTTGTTTTTTAAACAAAATCAAAATATTTTTAATAACGTCTTCATTGTTTTATTTCTTTTTCCTACAATCTCCCTTTCTACTACTTATTACTGGCGGATTAATCAAGCCGGAAGTCTGAATGCACCAAATCGGCAAACAAATCGATATATTAAAGTTTTCCACTCCTTTCTCTAACTAAAGTTTGTTCAGAGAAATTGGGTGATAAAAGGGCAGTAGAAACTAATTAGGAGGAAAATAAAACAAAAAACAGAAAAAAAAGAAGAAAACAGATGCTTGAATTAGATTTTGGATTCGAAACAAAAGAGAGGATTTAAGCTAAAAGTGCCAAGGATTACAGACACAGAAGTGGCCGAATCAGGAATTAAAGTCAAGTGAAGAGGAGCAGTAATCCTCGGTGTTTAGACAATCTATGTTTTTTGTTTTTATTCCTTTTTACCACTAGTACCGATTGTACACAAATATATTTTGCAGTATTCGTTGTTTTTGTTGTTGCATGTTAGAGAGAAAAAACGCCAACAAATGAAGAAAAAAGCACCAAATCGATAGCCACTATTGGTAAAATCAGTTCCGGTTGCTGCATCTCTACTGCTATCTCTGGCTCTCATCATCATCATCATCCCTTGAACTGCACCTTCTGGCGTTGTTCTATTGGCCAAACTGACAATCGAATTGCCTGCCACCGTCACTTGCTATCGTTTTGAGGAATCTTCTTCTAGAATTTAATTCAATTATTCAATTTGTCTGTTGTGGGTTGAATTGGCAAAAATGGGTAGACGAGAGAAAGAGAGGCGAAGGAGGAGAGTACAGCAAAAATGTGCGTCTTTCTGAGTGTGAGTGCTTCTTCTTTTTAATCTTCCCTTGCTTTTGTCTACGCAAACTTTGCAAAACAAGGACAGGGGCACTGTCTGCCTTCTATTGTTGACTGAGAAGTTGTCTGAAGAGCATTTTCAGATGCGGCTTCAAATATAACAAAGAATGAAGATGCAGCAGCAGTGATGGCGGTGGTAGTGGTGGTCTGATCAGCCGCTGATGAATAGACGATGCACATGGAAATAAAAAGCAAAAAAGGACAATAGTTTTAGAAAAAAAGATAAAAACTAAACGGTACCACTTTCGCCGTTACTGCTCTCTTGTTTGTTTGCATAAGCTGAATGGATTGAACGGCTCTCTTCTTTTGCGTTTAAAAAATAAGAATAAAACTGCCAGCAGATGGTCGTTTTCCAAGATGTTTGAAAGATAAGAGAAAAATTAAAATGGTTAACTAATAATAATAATTTGTCATTTACTTCTGAGGCGTTGTGGCACAATTGTGGGCGCACAAACAAAACAGAATGTGTCTAACTTGTGTATAGGAGTTTTGCTGTGTCAATTTAAACCAGTATTGGCCTAGTGCAGTATGCATTCTATGACAGCGAGTCAGTCAGTCAGTTCACAACACTGCAGAGCTGAATATGTAGATATGATAAAAACAGAAACAGCACAGTGGCAGTAAATGTTCATTGCCGCATCATTTGCCGATAACTCCTTTTCACGATGTGAAATTGTGTGTGCCTCTAGGTTAAAGCATTTTTTCTAGGTTTTAGCCTGGTTGCAGTTCAATTGCCCCATCAGTGACGACGCGATAATTGGAGCAGAAGGAGAATTGGGTGATTGGGCGATCTCCAGTGAAGCGGAGGCTAGGAAAGTGCTTCATTTGCCGATAATTAAAATCAGCTTAAACAGGAGAGGCAGTGGTGAGGAGGAAAAAGGGGGAGAGAGAAGTGGAAGATTACTATTTGCCTGTAATTTACCAATTTTCTCTCTCCCTTCCGAGTGATCGATTAGGTGGTCAGATATTTTTTCCACTTTTTAGATGCTGCATGAAAAAAAACAAAAATACAGACAACGTTATTATTTTTACCCTGGTGACCCAGAGGACACCGATAAACCAACCCGCACATTCCTTGCCACCACCTCCAGTAGCACCACCACCACTATCACCACCTCATCATCATCTTCTCAGAAGAGACACTCTGTTTCTTCTAATGGACGAATTCAGTACTGGCAGTCCATTACAAGAGTATACTACTATAGCTACCTCTTCTTACCATAGCTCATTATCCACTCATCACCGTCATCATCATTATCATCAGCTCCCACTGCAGTACAAAGCTTTATTCATCGGCTTTCTTTTCTCGTTTGTCTGTGTTGTTGTTATTCATTAAAATGGCAGCCAGTGGGAAGAGGAGAAAGCCAGTGGAACTGAAGAATCTTCTTCACTGGAAAATGTGAGAAAGAAAGAGAGACACTCTAATTGAAAACATTTTGCTCAGTTGCCTTTGTTGATGTGCTTTGCATGCCGCTGCATTGAGAGAAGGAAGAAAAAGTAAAAAAAGAATCGAATTTAAATTTCAAATTCCACTGAGTAAAAGGGACAGACAAAGAAAAAACTGTGCTTGGCAAGAAGCAGCACTGCTGCTGCATCTGTTTGTAAACTGAGCTGTCTTCGTATGCTAACCGGTCGCTAGGATCCTCGGTATTCCTTGGGTGTCTTTTTTGCCGACATTGTCCGCATCAGCCTTTTGTGTAGCGTGTACAGTGCTGCCAACAACAGAGCCAAGCTGATCAGCCTCAAAGAAGCAGGAAGCAAAGTGGGAGAAGCACTCCAATTTCATTTTGGAGCTGATTTATTAGAGCCTAAAACAGACAAACTCTGTTTTTTTCAATTGCCATTATTTCTTTCTTTCTGTTACCTTATGCAGATGAAATCGCATATATACTTAGTGTGCCCGTCTATTCAACTTGTTGTTGCTGCTGTCCAGTGTGCACAGAACACAATGCACACAGCACCAGTTGTGTTAGTGCAGCACTGTCTGACGATAGGGAACCGAAGTGTTGCCCAATGGTGTTATCACTACTACTGCAAGACGCCAAAACCGGACAAGGCGCTTTCCAATTGTTGAGGCACAATCTCTCTGGTACAAGGTTCAGGTTTTGGTGCTCCAAGTGCAAGTCCCTTTCCGATTCAAATCTCGGTTCAAAACCTAAATTATATTTTGCCAAGCATGTACTTTTTGAGCCCCCTTTAGTTCCTACGCTGAACTCGCTCACCAGTGCTGCCGAGTCAGCAGATGTGGTTGTAAAGCAGTTGAGAACTGCTGAAACAGTTGCTGGGCAGTTGCGAAATGTGCTGGCATAACTGGCCAACACTGCTTTGACTTCACAGGAAAAGGTTTCACGGGTTTTGATTTTTGTTCATGTTCAACAAAGTTGACGTCGTCAACACTGAGCGTACTGTTTTTTCAATTTTTTAATTTGCTTAAAAAGCTCAACGGGCACTCGATTTATGTGTCGGTTTTTAAATAAATTCCTTTGTAACGCTATTCTTTATTTATGCACCGGCAGCTTTTCCGTTGTGGTTGTATTATAAATTGCATAAACGGCTAGTTTTCGGTTTAGTTTTTCTGTCAGACATCACCACACACAACTGCATTACAGTGCATAACGAAATAAATTATAAACTCGTGGCTATTAAAAATAGATAGTATTTTTCATTTTTTTTGCAAAATAATATTATTCCTAGCTGATCTATATGACAACAATTTTTAAATTATTAATTTTTCATCCCACCTGTGATGGTAAT